TCAGAATGTAGAAAATCGCTTTTGATGAGTGAGGTATGTTTCTGAGCTTTATTTTTTTTAAGTGACTCCATGTTTTAGATCTGACATACTCAAGCAATCACCAGAAGACGTAAAATGGGGGTCCTAGCGTGGTGGGCCTCCAAGTTTCTAACCTTGGCTATCTACACACAAAGCGCCCCTGGCCCCAACGTTGTGCACTCTGGGTTTGCTCGGCATGGAAATAAAATCTCTGGGGTGGACCAAACGGGCTCAGGAATTTCTTGGGCAAGAACCGAGGGTTATCTTAATATAAACAAGTGAAACTGTGGCTGAAACGTGCCATCTGACGATGGCTGGTTTTGCTTTTTATAGATTTTTGCAAGTGGGCGAGGTAAATACTGAGAAAGTTACAAGGTGCTGTAAACGTTTTCCATGTTATGGGTCAGCAGGCAATTCTGAGATTGAAGGCGTTGACATGGAATAACTGAGGACTCTAACTCTGGCTTAATTTTTTACGTCTCTTGGCTGCTTCGGGGCTGCAGACACGAACCACTAATGTTGACGGGAGGCCCAAGTGTCTAGGTCAGGTCTGGCTGCTGTGACCGATCATTGGGGACCAGGAGGCTGCAGTCCAAGGTTATGGTGCTGGCAGACTCTGTGCCTGCTGGGACCACTGCCTGTCTTCCCCTGTACCCTCACCTGAGGAGAGCGGGGGAGGGTGTCGGAAGGTCTATGGAAAGACGTGACCACTGCCGGGTGACCTGTGAGCTGGGTGCTCGGAGGCTCCTCGCCCCCACCCTTGCCCTTGGATGTGGGTTCTGCTTCCCTCCTGCTCCAGGGACACAGCCTGAGAGAACGACGCAGTGTGGTAACAGCTGCACGGTAGGCATACGTGACCGGACCCACTCAAGGCCCCTCTCGATAGAAACTTAAGACCTGGCTGGAGGGAGCCCGAGTGGCCTGCCTCGGTCCTTGGTCTCTCTTGCGCTCCTCGTACGGGTGGCGGACTTGGGTGGCACCCGGGAGGGTCCCAAGGGAGGCTGGTCTCTTGACTCTTCAATAAGCGTCCTACTCCCATCACGGAGGCTCTGCCCCAGTCACCTCCAAATGCCACCGCATTGGGGGTTCGGGCTTCACGCAGACACGCTCCACAACACGAAGGCGTCCATGGCACAGAGTGAACACCACCCGGTACGAAACAGCACAGCGCTAACGCGAAGAGCTACACAGTGAGCAGAGGCCTGCACTCCCCTGGCGGGGCTCCCAGGGCGGAGGTGAGGCTCCCATCTCATCCGACGGTGTCTCCGCGAGGCCAGGCGCCTGTGCTTGGGGCTCCGCGCTGTCCTCAGAAGGAATGGAGCGGCGTCTTTCACCTCCACGCCGACACTCGGGCAACGCGAAAGGAAGGCTACCAGACCCTGGATACCTGGGAGTAGGTTCCAGAACATTCTGTGTTCTGAGTCAGTAGGAGGAAGAAAACAGAGATTCCCCAATTCCTCCCATCGCTGTATTCTAGTCAAGCTGAAAAAACAGCACATATCACCGTGTGTTTTAGTTCCTGACAAAGGGGAGACTTATTTAAAAGGAGAAATACTGAACCAGCAAGCTTTCCCATTAGAGCAAAACAGATTGAGCAAAGACAGAGGTGAGGTGATTCACCAGAGTCTGGGGACCCTTAACGTGTACTCATTCTTAGGTGGGCGGCACCCTCACTGTTAGAAACCAGTCTGCGGGCGGCAGGCATCGGCCTGCATGTGCCCCCTCCGTGTGCACAGCCGCACCCCTCCTGCCAGCACAGGAGCTCCAGGAGTTCGGTGTGGCAGGGACAGAGTAGGGTGAGCGCGCAGTGGGCACCGGGTTCAGGAGCCCTGAGGACGGAGGTGTTCGGATCCCCGACACCAGGGGTGGCCCTCCGACTGGGGGCCGGCCCCACTCACCCCTGCAACCTCCTCCTGGGAGGCTGGGGGGTCACGTGCATCTGAAAGCAGTTCTAACAGGTGCCGCGACCCTGCCTCACTGGGAACGGGAGGCTACGGGGTCAGGAAGGGACCCAGAAGTCCCCAGGACACGTGACGGTGACCTGTAGGTCAGGGCCATCCTGACATCTGACCGCATGAAGGGAGGATGACGCAGCTTTCTCCGTTTTGCTGTTGTCTGTGCGGGCTCAATGGAATAGGGAAGGTTTTTATCTGCTCGAGGGCTCACACGATGGAATAAGGGAAAGTTTTTCGCCTTGCAAAACACTTAGATTTAACACGATTTCCGTGTGCCGTGAAGCAAGCTGACACAGACACACTGAAACCAACACGCCTGAGGCAGAGAGAAGGCTCGGGGACCCTGATGGGTGCCGCCCCTGGGGCCTCCACGGGCTCCGGGAAGCAGGAGACCCTCTCGCAGCTGAGCCAGCTTTCATGACGGGTTCCCCACCAAGAATGTCCCCTATGGCCACCGGCCTTGCCAGGTACCTCCGAGCTACCTCCCAACCCTGCCTTTCCCACGAAGATCCGCCACGACCCGTCCCGCAAGCTGGTGAGCCCTTCTCATCCACATCGGGCTTTGTCCCCTCCCTGGCTCCCTGTGGCCGAGTGGCTGGCCCACACCAGGCACCACGGGGACGTGCAGTCAGCCGTGGACGGACACACACAAGGACAGCGTGAACACGGGACGGGGCTCCATCAGGGGCTGTCCTACGCTCTGAGCGGACCGCACGTCGACGAGCCTCGGCTCTGACACCAGAGGAGTGAGCCCCAGTACGGGGAAGGCTGCGTCCCAGCCCATCACCTACCAGCAAGAAGGCAGCCTCTGGGACTCAGGTGCCTGGTGTACATAGGACCGCCGGCATGGGGTCGTTCACGCAGGGACGGTGAGAAGCTGCAGGTGACTCGGCACAGCACCCAGCACAGGGCAGTGGTTGCCGGCTGCGGGGAGACCCCGGGGTCTGAGGAGAGAGGAAGGGGGCGGGGGCTCGGCCTCCCGGCCTGCGGGGTCCTGGGAACACACACGAGTAGGGCCGGGGCCGTCTTCCTTCCACAGAGAAGACGCTCGCTGGCCCACTGTCCTTCCCTCCCGCCACCCCTCGGCCAAGGCCGTTCTGAAGAACACGGCCTGTGCACAGAGAAGTGTGTCTATGCCAAAGCACGGAGTGCGGTGACAGGCGATAATCGATGGTACTTAACCTCCCCACGGGCCACGCTGGAGGGCACGGCTGGCTCCTGCCTCCGACACCCGCGGCAGGTGAGTCCAGGCTGCTGCGGCCAGATCTTCCCATTTCTCGAGATTCCAGGATTTCTTTTTTAAGGTTGTTATTTTTATTAAAAAAAATTTTTTTTAATGTTTATTCATTTTTCGAGAGAGAGAGAGAGAGACACAGAGCGTGAGCAGGGGAGGAGAAGACAGAGAGGGAGACACAGAATCCGAAGCAGGCTCCGGGCTCTGAGATATCAACACAGAGCCTGATGCAGGGCCTAGACTCATGAACTGTGAATCGTGACCTGGGCTGAAGTCGGACGCTTAACTGATGGAACCACCCAGGGGCCCCAGTTTTTTATTATTTTTAAAGAATCTTTTATTTTTGAGACACAGGGAGAGAGGGGACAAGGGGGGGCCACAGGGGGGGGGAGGCCAGAGGGTCTGAAGCAGGCTCTGTGCTGACAGCAGAGAGCCCGACGTGGGGCTCGAGCTCCCTGACCGCGAGATCGTGACCGGAGCTGAAGTCAGACAGTCAATCGATAGAGCCACCCAGGCGCCCTGAGATTCCAGAATTTCTGGCTGCTGTGTGCACTCGCCCTGTCCAGCGCCCACCCGCTCTCTCTGCAGACAGCGTGGGAGTCACACGGGGCTCCCCTGCTGCACGTCCAGCTGCAGATGCCTGTGTCCCGGCAGCCTTGAGCCACGCCACAGCCGGTGCCGGGTGGCCTGGCCTGGCGCGGAGCCCGGAAAGCTCCCTACAACTCCGAAGGCCCTACCAGCCCCTGAGCAATAAAGGTGTGTGGGTCCTGGATCAACAGGGTTCAAAAAGCCTCTTCTACGCACACGCCTGCCTTGCTGCTCCTTGTGGGAAGTCCCTGGTCAGAGGGAGCATGAAAGTGTGCGCGGGCCAAGCTCTCGTGCTATCTGGTCCTTCCCTCTCCACACACGACTACTGCGTCGTTATAAAGATGTGGGGTGTAAGGGGGGAGCCCTGGGAAGGTCAAATCCTGATGTGGGTCATGTAAAAAGTAAGCTAAATATTTCATACTTTAACCTGAAGTGTGAACAGACATGGGTCATCACCCGGTGTCTCCAAGACAAGCGACTCACACCGACCAAACAGTATGGAGAGACAAGAACGGACATCCTTTTGGGTCCATAAACATAAGTTACTTTATTAAGCTTCTGTGCCATCGGAAGACACCAGCTACGTCTGTTCCACAAGAAGGGCGGGGGCCGCAGGATCGTGAGTTAGTCGTCTTTGGGGGACGCAGTTTGCGGGGTACCTTTGAGGCTTCAATCACTCCTTACGAGGAGATAAACGGGTGTTACGGATCTTGACCTAAGCATAAAGCCGAAGCAGCAGTAACCAAGATCGCCGCCGTGAGCGCCCTGTCACTTAAACACGAGTCGGACGTTTCCGTGACCAATAAATGCATGTTTTTTGCAAAGACGTCAAAGAGGCTTTCAAAAGAAAAAAATAAACCTAATTTTAATTGCACACCCCAGGCCAGAATCAAATGTCTGTACGTGTGTCCCCCACTGCCCACAGTAGGGCGGTCCCCTGAAACCTCTCGTGAGCTGGAATGACCCCCTTTGCAGCACTTTGCTGTTACACAAGACCTACTGGGTGCCTGTTCTCGCGGACTAAAGGAAGTCGGGGCGGGGGGACCCTCACTTTCACAGGAGAGGCCGTTATTCGGCGGACACATCTCTGCTAACAGTGTAGGCACGCACCTAAGCGAGCTCTGGAAGCGGGGGGACCCGGACCTCCCCGCACACGTGCTAGGCTGGTGCCCGCCTTCCCGAGGAGGCGGCAGGTGAAGGCGGCATGCCTGCCCTCCCAGCTCGCAGGGCAGAGTGCCCAGTGCCTGGCCCTGAAACCCTCAGGAACGCCAGCCACGGAATGAGGGTCCGGTTGGGAAGCACACCGGCAACTCGGTCCGTTGAAAACGGCTCTAAAATCCAGACAGGTCTGATTACCGAACATCTACCTTATTTTACCAAGTGACCAAGAGAGTGTGAATACACGCTTCTGGTTTTACTGGAGATCCCCTGCTGCGTGACCCCACAGCCTGCACTGGAGCACACACACCCACCAGGCTGGCTCTGTCCCCCAAGGGGGGGAGGGTCACTCCTGCAAGGGGTCCGCCCGCGGCTTCGCCACCAGATGGCGCGACCGCAGCCAGGCTGGCCTCTCCAACCACGGAGATTCTAACAAGGGGCCCAAACAGGACCCCTTCTGTCCGAGGACAGTGCCCTGCGGCTAAGAAGGTCACCACCACCAGATAGGACACACAAACTGCTGACCGTGTGACCGGACAGACCGGATGCTGACGGCCACGGCGGCTGGGAAGGGGGGGCGGGGGAGGGTTGCTGATGCCGAGTCACGCCCGGCACTGGGAGCGCTCCCTCCTCCTGGACAGGTGGCCCGGCCGCCACCGTGACGCCCTCCCTGATGGTCAACAGGGCCGCACACGGTTAGGCGCGCAGGAGCAAACCACAGCAGGCGACAGGCTCGCGACGGCAAAAATGTGCCCCCAGAGGCAAAGCCGGGCTTTGCACACCCTTTGCAGCCACCGGGAAATCAGCACAGTCAGTGTGACTCGGAAAGAGCGCCGGGGACAGCGCGGTCCCTGCCTCACTCCGCGGGAGTCTGCGGCGGGGACCTCGCGGAGCCCGTGGACAGCAGCCGCCTGCGCCCCGGGGCCCTGGGCTCCGGGCGGCTACTGCCCCTTCTTCTGCGGCACCTGGCCATTAGCCCCCACGGGCCGCCCGCCTCCGGGCTCCGGCTGCGCGAAGTTCCAGTCCACCGGGGTCAGGAGCTGCTGCGTCTTCTTATGGGTCCAGTAGGGGTTGAGGACGAGTGTGAGCAGACCCAGCCCCACGAGGAACAGCGCCAGGTGCGGAAGGTACAGGCTGCTGCGCAGGCCGTCCCAGTGCCAGAAGCACACCCACCACATGTGGTAGGTGAGCACCATGCGGCAGTGGAACATGTGGATCATCAGCCACTGGTTCAGCTTCCAGAACAGGGAGTCGGAGCAGCCGGCCTGTGGGACAGAGCACACACGTCAGGACGCGGCCGCCCAGACGTCACGCCCACCACGAATTCACCACCTGGATGCGCCCAGCCCCCGTGCCCGCAACAGCCGTGCCCCCCCTCCCCCGCTCCCCCTCCCGGGGGCATCGCCCCGGAGCAAGGCCACCCGTCCGCGGCCCGTCCGCTCCCGGATTCGTGCTCCCAGGAGCCAAGGCCAGACCTGTTTCCAGTCTCACTTCAGTCTCCTTTCTAACCCTGAGTCACACACACTGGCCGCCAGCAAGCCCTGGGAGAAGGGCCTCTGGGGACAGGGAGGCTGAGGATGATATACACTTACCTCCTGGTTTGATCTTGGGTCCTTTACCCCCGGAGCCCACGGACGCAGGCACAAGTGGACTTTCCTTAAAATTATTCTAACTTTACACTAAAACCAGTTTCCAAGACTTGTAGCCAAAACCGAACAGAGAACTTGAAGATGGCCCATCAGATCCTGGACGCGAAGGCGGGGCCTGGCCAGCACCAGGCCACTCCGGTGCCAGGACGGTGGGCCCCCAGCCAGGTGACAGAGGACATCCAGCACCCCCGCATCCCCGCACCCCTCAGACCTTCCACACACCAGCCTCTCCGACCTCGTCTCCGTTGACCCCAAGCTGCACAATCTCCCTCGGGAGCTCCGGGCCACAGGTGGCCCCTCCCCGGGTGGGGACACTGTGTTGCTTCTGCACAAGGAAAGTCAGCAGTTTGAGGCAGAGAGGCCCCGAGAGCAGGCAGCAGAAACGACCTCAGGAAAGGATCAGGCTTCACTTGAGCCACATCTGCCGAACCCTGAGGAGGATGCAAACCAATTTCCAAGAGTGAGTCTGTTTTTAAAAAACAGGAAAGGAATCCTAACTCTGAGGTCATAAAAGTGTCATCACGGCTCGGACAAAGGAAAAGGAGACTCCGTGGAAATGATGACTTAGGACAAAGAAAGTCAGAAAGACAAGAAATTTCCTTGCTGTCTGAAATACGGTGAGCTTGGCCCAAAACTAACGCCACAAGAAATGTGAACGGCCTCCTACTTTCAGATCGGACACACCCAGGCATGTTTTCTAGTACTGCCGAGAGTTAAGTTAGGCGTAAACAGCGCCCAGAGGAACATTCTATTTATTCCGGCAGAGTTTAAATTTCCTCTAGGTGTAGAGGAAAGCACCTACGGGAAGAGGAGGAGAGAAAAGAATCCGACAGACTGGGAGCCCCGTGGAGGCTCTAACAGACTGTCCGTCTGCAGGCACGCGGGTTCTTGAGGCCGGAGCCTCAGGCCTCCCGCAGACAGCCTCCCTGCCTCAGTCTCTAAGTGGTGAGTCTTCCCTCGCCACTAAAAGCGGTCTTCTTAAATCATGAATACTCGTATCACAAACACGAACTCTTCCCCATGGAATAATTAGGTTACGTTTGGAAAGCTCGAAGCTGGGGGACCGAGCGTTCTTTGGCATTCCTCAGTGTCACGAGGTGACGGAGCTCCGAGAAAAGCCGGGGACAGGAACGAGCTCTGTGACAACGCACACAGAGAGGGCTTTGTGCGGCCCCGGCTCCCGGCGGTGAGCACCGCACAGGACACACGCACGACAGCGACGGTTTCTACCTCACCCACTTCGCGTCATGGGCCGGTGTGTCCTAGATGAACCGTATCACCCAGTGTGCGAGTCCCGTGTGAGTCCAAGCCACACTGCGGAATCCCAGCCGAGGGGGAGACGCTAAGAACGGGCCCCTGCTTTTGAGATAGAAACCCGTCTTTACACGACGGTGACGTTTTCGGTCTTGATTCACACCCTTCAGTGTGCCATCAAATCAGACCTGGATGGTGGGCAGATTCTTGAACAGGACGCCCAACCGTGTGTGAATTTGGCGACTTTATTAAATGCTAAAAGGATTTCCACACGTCAGGCGGCACATACATACAGCAGCGTGTGAACTGCAAGGAAACAGCTAGAGTTTCTGACCTGAGCTACCGCGTTTTAGGGCACAGTTCTGTCGCTGGGACCTGCTTGCTCCGTAGAGTCAACACAGCGAATGGTGTTGAGAAGCGACCACACCAAGACCCCCTTCTCCGTCCTGCGTACACAGCGCCCGGCAAACCGCAGAGACCGCAGAAAACGGCCCAAACCAGGCCTGTCGCCCGCATCCCCCCACGGCTGGAGTCCGCCTTCTTCGTGGGGATGCTGGGGACCGGAGGTCGGGCCTCCCAGCACACCTGAGGAGGGAGACACCTGGAGACCCCCAGCAGCCCTGCTCCAGGCGGGGCACAAACAGGTCTGGAAAGACACCGTGAAGCCGTTCGACACCGACCGCCCGAGCACAGGAAAGAGAAAGATTTCATTTCTTCTTTTTAAGAGCATCCTCCAAAAAATGACAAAAATTTGACATAACTAATAATCTATCTTCTCGGAACACGCGAATCACAGCCCAAGCTCGCGTGTCTTGTGGGTTGTGGTGCCGGTCACCACGGGGCACGGTGTCCCAGCGCACGGACGGACGCGGCTCCTTTCGGGGACATCCCTTCCCGCCGCAGCCATGTCTGCTGTGAAGCCTGGTGTTCTCACGTGTGAGGGGGCAGAGAAGACAGGACGGCTGGGCCATCGCCTGTCTGACCCGCACACCCTCCGTCCACACCCGGCCACGATGCCACCGGTGCCGTGCTCACAGCCAGAGGGCACAGGGAAGCGTCCGCCCTGCCCTCCGTCCTCAGGAGGCCCCGCTCCGTGGGGAGGACACCCACGAGGGCAGCGCCGAAAAGCCACGTGGCGTGAGTGGGCGGGTCCCAAGTCACAGCACCTTACCTAAAATGACCCACACCCGGACCAGCGGCTTCCATGACCGTTCAGAGCTCGGCTGAGTTGAAACGCTCCTTCACTCCATTAACGGTTTCCAGCCTCCCCCCAGATCACTCCTGTCCGAGGACCTCACGCCATCCCCAAGCCCCCCATCCACGAGCAGCTGTCCAGGTGCTTAAACCGCCCAGCTGCTGTAGCGCCCCGTGCACCTGCCAGCCCGGCCCCTTGTCCCCCTCCACGGCACCTGCCCCTCTATTGCCACATCCTCCTGTGGCACCAGGTGGGGCGGCCCTGGGGGACGACGGGACTGCTGGGCACGTGGCCAGGTACGTATGAAAGTCTGCACACTTACACTGCTAATTCACTTCCGGTGTGCGTACAGCATCGACCCCCAAGGACCCTGAAGGCAGTGTGGTGTTTCCTACTTCTCTGTTTTCTCCCAAAGCTTACCACAGTGTGCAGGAGTGACACAACCCATGTGTGCTGACTGCAGTAGACGTTTACAAAACAAAAAGCTGTATCTCAAGTTTCACGTAAAACAGGCTGTGAACGTGTCATACGAGATGGCCAGAATCTGTGCTACGGTATAATTCTAAGAGTTTAACGTGAACATCTTGATCTCAGAATAAGAATCAAGATGTAGACAGACGACACACATTTTTTAAAAACACGCTTTTAAAAACATAAAGGAAACAAATACACAGATAACAATTCCAGGTCCTAAACAACCTTATTCAGAAACAAAAACACGAGAAAACCATCCCGATGTGTGACAGCCGCCAGTGAGACGGCGGGCAGGAAGCCTGGATCCGCCCTCCCCACAGACACTGATTTAGCAACCGTTCACACACACAGTCCCTCCGTGAGAAATGCGACACTGATGGAGAGGCCCCTGTGCAGGAGAGCCCACGCTCGCCGCGGCCGGGAGGGGCACTCAGGGCACCCTCCCGCACCACATGATCGGGAAGAGACCCCAGAGGAGGAAGGAGCTGCAGCACGCGCCCAGCACCCCAACTTTTTCGAGGGGCTCCCGGAGGACTGGCCTCGAGCTCGCCAGTCCTGGAGTTCTGACAGTCCAGCAGAGCCCGGCTGCCCATGGGGAGCAGCGGCAATGGCTTGGCTGGTCGACCCCACAGCGGCCTGCTCTGCCCCAGAGCCTGGGGCCAGGCTGACCAGCGGGGTCGTGTCCCATGTGAGGAGTGTGTGCAGACCTGGAGAGGTGCCCTCCTGGTCTAATGCACAGACAGCAACGGAGCCGGGAGTGGGACCAGGCAAGGGAGCTCTGAACCAAGGAACAAGGAGAACCCTCCAAAAGCACCCCCTGGTGAGACAGGACTGAAGGGTTTACGTGACAGAGAATTACACACAACTGTCACGAAGATGCTCACTGAAGTCACGAGAACAACATGCATGACCACAAGCGAGAATTTCAAGCCAGACAGAAGAATGTTTAAAAACAAGTACCAGACAGAAATCAAGGAGCTGAGAACACGGTGAAGAACAGAAAAGTTCACTAGAAAGTTTACCAAAGTGATCTACAGATGTAACGCCATCCCTACCAGAATCATGATGCTTTTTTACAGAAACAGAAAAAACAATTCTCAAATTCACAGGAAACCACAAAAGACCGCAAATAGTCATGTCACTCTTGAGAAAGAAGAACAACGATGAAGGCATCACACTTCCTGATTTCAAACTCTATCTCAAAGCTAATCAAAGTTGCCCGGCACTGACAGAATGCAGAGCCCAGAGAGAAATTCACCAGGTATGATCAGTCCATTTCTGACAACGGGGCAGGGACAGTACCTTCGACAGGTGCTGCTGGGGAGACCGGACAGCCACGTGCAAAGGAACGAAATGGGACCACGTTCCCACACGAGACACAAAAGGCAAGTCAGAATGGACTCAAGTCTTAAAAATAAGACCCAAAGCTGAGACTCCTGGAAGAAAACATGGGGGAAAAACCTTCATGACGTTGGTCTTAGCAATGATTTCATGGATAGACACCAAGGGCAGGCAACAGATATAAAAACAAACAACTGGGGCTGCATCAAACGAATATCCTGCTTTAAGCAAAGGAAACGCTCACTGGGGTGAAAACACAACCTACAGAGTGGGAGAAAATATCTGTGAACCACATAACTGATAACAGATTAGTCTTCAACATACATAAAGAACCACAACTCGATAGTAAAAAACAAAAAAAAATCAGATTCAAAAAATGGCCTAAGGACTTGAACCGTTTTCCAGAGAGGCCAACAGCTGTACGAAAAGATGCTCAGCATCACTCGGAACCTGGACCTACAGGGAGGAGCCGCCTCGCACCTGTCAGGACGGCTGTCGTCAAGCACACGAGACGAGTGTTGGCGAGGGTGTGGAGAGACAGGAAGCCTCGCAGTGTGGGGAGAGTGAAGATGGGGCAGCCGCTGTGGAAAATGGTTCGGAGGTTTTACTTTCTAACACCGAGCTACCTTATGATCCAGCAAACCCACTTCTGAGTAGTTTTCCAAAATGACCGAAATCACGATCTCGAAGAGCTGTTAGCTCCTTCCCTGTGACGCACAACAGCTAAGACACACAGACAACCGCAGCGCCCGCGGCAGGTGCACGGACACGGAAAGTGTGCTGTACACACAGAACAGAAAACTGTTCAGCCTGAAAAAAGGAGAATCTTTGATATGCAACGTGGATGAGCCTTGAGGACGTGATGCTCAGAGCGGCGAGCCCGTCACAGAAGGATAAACACCGCATGGTTCCACGATACGAGTTACCTACAATGGTCAAACTCACAGATCAGTGTGGAATGCCGGGTGCCTGGGGCTGGAGGAGGGCGGCAGGGAGCTACTTATCACCAGACATGAAGTGTCGGCCACGCAACGGGAGACAAGCTCAAAAGAGCTGCAATAATACCGTTACCTAAAAACTGGTTAAAAGGGTAGATCTCAAGTGTTAACATAAGATGAGATAAACATTTCAGAAAGATGTGTGTATTCATATATACACTTTTGGACCTTGTTTCAAAAACATTTGAAAGAAAGAAAAACAAAATCACCTTTTCTGGGGCTTACAGAATACGATCAGCTCAGATCCACTGTTTTGTTATGGAGCCAGAAGCTTAAAACATTTGTTTAAAATTAGCAGGGGCACCTGGTGACTCAGTCGGTTAAGCATCCGACTTCGGCTTAGGTCATGTCAGAGTTCGTGGGTTCAAGCCCCATGTCGGGCTCTGTGCTGACAGCTCGGAGCCCGGAGCCTGCTTTGGATTCTGGATTCTGAGTCTCCCTCTCTCTCTGCCCCTCTCCCACTTGTGCTGTCTCTCTCTCCCTCTCTCAAAAATAAATGGCATTAAAAACATTTTTTTAATAAAATAAAATAAAATTAGTAACACAGAGGGGCGCCCGGTGGCTCAGTCGGTTAAGCGTCTGACTCTTGGTTTCTGCTCAGGTTGTGATCTCACGGTTCGTCGGGCTCTGCTCTGACAGCGTGGAGCCTGCTTGGGATTCTCTCTCCCTCTCTCTCAAAATAAATAAACGTTAAAAAAATTAGTAACACGGAATTCAACAAAATGAGAGGTTGCTGTGGACGCCATGACCTGGTCTGGCGGGGACCCCGAGCGTGGCGCACAGGGAAG